TACACCCTCATTATATAAAAGGTGATGGATGTATAATTTAAATATCCGCGGATAGAGGAAAATTGTTAGATTAATGCACTATCTCATAAGATTGAGATAGACTCTACAGATTACGATAAGGATTAAGCTTACAGATCACAATAAGGATTAAGACGATGGTAAGTCTACGATACATCCTGACCTAAGCTTTATAAAAAGGAGCTAATCAACATTTTAAGGTATGCAATAGATCCCAACTCAATTTCTTAATTTCTCCAGAGAGATTATTTTGTACACTGACTTATTCGTCGGAGCCTACTCCACCGATAACACATCGGTGCCTGTAGGATCACCTTTTCTTCTCTTTGTTCAGGAACTCAGATCAGATCCGAGTTTGAGCGGAATTCTGCATCAACAGTTGGTGCCGTCTGTAGGAAACGATTTTAGTTCTCTAAACAAAGCATGGTTCGATTGCGATCTGGTTTGGCTGCTGGCAAGGACGAAGCGTTGCAGACTTCTGATCAAGGGGACTCGACGAGGTAACCCCCGGTCGTCCCAAACGATCAGGAACGCGTCACAGGTTGGAACAACAGGTTCAAATCTTAAATAAGAGAATGAACTAATTAGTCCAGCAAAATGCGATGATTCTGCAACGCTTAGCCGCCCCCAACGAGGTGGAGAACAGTGAAGTACCCAACAATGACTCCCGTAGGATTGACAACGACGCTGAGCTTAGTCAAATAGGGGGTTAACAGAGAAGCCATCACCATCGGTCTCCTGAACGGAATACGGCCAGGCTCCGTGGAGATACCTTTGGTTGTGTTGGCGACAAGACTGAGGACGTCATTCATTTTGATCTATAGATGCAAGATCTGAGAGCTAGGGTCGAAGACGTCATGCAAGCGATGAAAGGGAAGGGCCAGGCCTTAGTGAACGATCTAGTACAGAAGACCAACCTAGCATTTAGCCTAGTTATTATGAGTTGTCCTCTACCTAGCAAATTCAAGATGCCAACTCTTGAGAGCTTCGATGGGACGCGGGACCCTCTCGATCATTTGGAGACCTACAAAGCTCTTATGTATTTGCAAGCCGTACCGGACGAAATTATGTGCAGGGCTTTCCCTACCACACTAAAGGGTTGGGCTCTTCTCTGGTTCAATAAATTAAAGCCAGGCTCCATTGAAAACTTTAATGAGTTAAACAAACAATTTATAGGACATTTCATCACTGGGCAGAGGCATAGGAGACTAGCAATACACTTATTGAATGTGGAGCAGCAAAAGGGAGAGCTTCTTCGTGATTACATAATTCATTTTAACACTGAAATGCTGCAAGTAGAATAAGTGGACAACAAGGTTGCCCTCACAGCTTTAATGGGAGGACTATATACCTCTAAGTTCCTATTCTCCTTGTCCAAAGAAACCCTTACGAGCATGGCAGAGTTGATGGTTAGAGCATGGAAGCACATAAATGCTGAGGATGTTATGAATGCACGAAAAAACAAAGATGGTGAAGATAAGAGGTCGGATAAAAAGAGGCCAGCACCTAGCACTAGGGAGGAAAATGAATCGAAGTACAAGAATTCATAAGCAGCCAGGCTAACAGATCGTCTCGCTGTCCAGCGAGCCCAAACAGAACGAAAGAGAGTTGGAAGCAAGCTTGGACCTGATTGAAGAAAGGATAGACCAAGCCCATATTAGGATGGCTGCCTATCAATAGAAGGTCTCCAAGTATTACAATGCTCGGGTTAAGCCTATGAGATTCTCAGTAGGAGATTTAGTACTCCGCAAAGTTACTCTAGCAACCACGTATTCAACCATGGGGAAATTGGGTCCCAAATGGGAAGGGCCTTACAAAGTTACACGATGTCAGAGACCAGGAACATACTGGTTGGAGGACTTAGAGGGAAAGCTACTGCCTCACCTATGGAATGTTGAACATCTGAAGAAATATTATCAGTAAACAATTTCAATTTAATCTGAGTTTATTATTTGCTTTTGCTAATACTTCTAGTTTCAATAATTGTTTCATTCTATACAAATAAATGTCTTCAATAGCCTTGTTATCAACTTTACTTTTAATAAAGTATTCCTTACTTGGATCAGTTGTTTCAAATAATTCATCATCATTTTGATATATTAAGATATTCATGTTAAATGGATGAGCTGAGTGACATTCATACTAATCTACTTCCCTTGTTAAAGGGTGAGCTGGATAAAACTCGTACTAATCTACTTCCTTTATTAAAGGGTGAGCTGGGTGAAACTCATAGTAATCTACTTCCTTTATTAAAGGGTGAGCTGGGTGAAACTCATAGTAATCTACTTCTCTTGTTAAAGGGTGAGCTGGGTGAAGCTCGTATTAATCTACTTCCCTTGTTAAAGGGTGAGCTGAGTGAAGCTCGTACTAATTTACTTTCCTTGTTAAAGGGTGAGCTGAGTGAAGCTCGTACTAATCTACTTCCCTTGTTAAAGGGTGAGCTGGGTGAAGCTCGTACTAATCTACTTCCCTTGTTAAAGAGTGAGCTGGGTGAAGCTCGTACTAATCTACTTCCCTTGTTAAAGGGTAAGTTGGGTGAAGCCCATAGTAATCTACTTTCTTTGTTAAATGGTATGCTGGGTGAAGCTCATAGTAATCTACTTTCCTTGTTAAAGGGTGAGCTGAGTGAAACTCATAGTAATCTATTTCCTTTGTTAAAGGGTGAGCTAGGTGAAGCTCGTATTAATCTACTTCCTTTGTTAAAAGGTGAGCTGGGTGAAGTTCGTATTAATCTACTTCCCTTATTAAAAAAGATGAGCCGAGTGAAACTCGTTTTAATTTACTTCCCTTATTAAATGGACGAGTCGACTAAAGATGTCAATAAAATCAAGTATAAAATAACATTACTACGACTTGTACTACTTGGTTTTCTGGAAGGTGGAAATAATTCGAATGAATTCTACTCAAACCATCTCTATTTATAGAGGAAGAACGTAAACAGATAAGGAAGAGATTTATGGTGGAGTTCTAACAGAAATCTGCTTTGTGAGGGACAATTAGCTCCCAACGGGCTATTTTGCGTAGGAATTTACTTCTACATGGTGGAATCGCATACGACATGTTAGTAAGAGAATAGGATTAGGAGTCAATCCTCGAATAAGACAACCACACTGGCAGGCCCACATGAGTTGCCTATGTGCAGAAAGGTAGGCTGCCAACATGGCAGCTTGTCACAAATACGAGCTGCCAATGTGGCACTTCAAAAAATACGTCAAAGACATCTACGGTCCTAAAAGAAAATTAAAAAAAAAAAAAAAAAAATTTGAGTCAGGCTCTACCCCCGACTGTGTCAAGCTAAATTTGAGTCAGGCTCTACCCCCGACTGTGTCAGACTAAATTTAAGTCAGGCTCTACCCCCGACTGTGTCAGGCTAAATTTGAGTCAGGCTCTACCCCCGACTGTGTCAGGCTAAATTTGAGTCAGGCTCTACCCCCGACTGTATCAGGCTAAATTTGAGTCAGGCTCTACCCCCGACTGTATCAGGCTAAATTTGAGTCAGGCTCGACCCTCGACTGTGTTAGTGAAGTGGCAATATGAATGGGCAAGGCTCTACTATTTAATAATCAAACCAACTTATTGTAGAAATACGGGTAAACGACTCTACAATTCTAAATATCTATTATTATGTAATATTTGAGAATTAACGTTCCGGTAGTTTGACAAGCAATCTTTCGAAACGGGGGGCAACGGATGGATGTATAATTTAAATATCCGCGGATAGGGGAAGATTGTAAAATTAACGCACTATCTCATAAGATTGAGATAGACTCTACAGATTACGATAAGAATTGTGCTTACAGATTAAGATGATGATTAAGCTTACAGATCATGATAAGGATTAAGACGACGGTAAGTCTACGATACATCTTGACCTAACCCTATAAAGAAAGCAACTAATTGACGTTTTAAGGTATGCAATAGATCCCAACTCAATTTATTGATTTCTCCAGAGAGATTACTTTGTATACTGACTTGTTCGTCGGAGCCTACTCCACCGGTAACACACCAGTGCTTGTAGGATCACCTTTTCTTCTTTTTGTTCAGGAACTCAGATCAGATCCGAGTTACGCAGAATTCTGCATCAACAAAAGGAAAAGTCAAAATTAGTATTTTACATTTTTAGGTAATTATTCACTCTTTCTTTCCTCTCCTCCGCCCAATTTTGTGGCAGATAAGAAAACTTAAAGTAATGAGGATGCTTCATCTTTCCTCACTTCCTCCCTCTTTTCCCATTTTCCTCCATTTTCCTTTCCTTCCAATCAAACACGAGAACATTGGTTACTTGGGTCTGTTTGGTTTGTAACAAAAACTCTACTTGGTTTAGTTTTTTGAAAACTCAGTTATAAAAATGTCTTTTAGAGAACTGTCCATTATAATTGTCTTAAAATATTTTTCTGTTCTTGGAATGTGTATTATAATTGTCTTAAAGTATTATTCTGTTCTCGAAATTCTGAGAACTATTTAGTATTTTAAGAGTTATAAAAATGTCTTTTAAAGAACTGTCTATTATAATTGTCTTAAAATCTTTTTCTGTTCTCAAAATTTTGAGAACTATTTAGTATTTTCAGAGTTACAAATCAAGCAATGACTTGGTTTATCCCTCCATTATTCTGTCCTTCCTCAACCCATCTCTCAAACCAAACATAACATAAGTAAGATAAGAGTGAATTAATTTTAAGTAATTATCATTTAAATTTATTTTTTTAAAATGATAATTTCTAAAATATAACATTATTACTCAAAATATAACATTATTCCTAAAATAAAAAGAATTCTCCATTTGTAATTATTATAACATTATTCCTAAAATATTAAAAATTCACAATTTGTAATTATCATTTAAATTTAATTTTTTTTTCAGAAAAAAGAAAAAGTTACAAAACAGTAACAGGCTCATAATCAGAAATTAACAAACATGTCATAGGTTATATTCAACAATTAAAGGAAGATCCGGACTTCTAAGCAAATACACTAATTTCAATTCAGGGGATTTTACTATCTATTGATTGCTTAGCGCACACAGAGACCCAGAGAGAGAAGAAGAAGAAGAAGGGGAAGGAAACGACGACTATACACTGCCTCCGTTACCTCCGTAGCCATTTCTGCCGCTAACTCATCTACTCCGTGCTCTGCTTCCATAAGGTAAATACAGACTCTTCTGTTTTTCTCCTTATCTGTGACTATTTGTGTCAATGCATATACACACACAATATATATATATATATATATATATATATATATATATATATCCACTTGTATATGCATATTTTATCGCACATGACTTCCAGAACTGGTAAGGGCTGCAGATCGAAATATGAATTGATGGAATTCACTCATCCAAAACGCTGTCTTTGGATTGGGGCTTTTCCCCCTTTATTCGTTTCGTGCGAGGATTGACGATGTTGTGCTTAGTACATTAATTTATGTGCAATATGTAATTTGTGCGAATCACCTATGAAAATCATCACTGGAAGTGATTTGATTGACAGCCAACCTGAGATGGAAATTCTATAATTATCGGATTTGTGCAGTTGTTAGTGTCATTTTTAATGATTTCAATATTGCAACATCACAAATATAGTATAAAAGAATAATAGCATCATTATTAAATATATTTCAGTTCCTTGGAAGCATGTAAACGGCGCCTTGGAATTGGAATTCCTTACTAATTCCATCCCACCAAACATAGTTTTAGTGATAAGGTTTATCTGATCTCGTTCTTTGCACTCATATCTAGACACAATAGAGCTGGACTTCTTATATCTATTCAAGACTTAAATTTTCATGTAGATTTTGTTAGTTTGCCCTCTAGGTTTTTTTGGCATTAAAGTTGCTATTATAAAAAGCCTTCTTGCAGCTGCATTTGTTGAAAGGATTTACATCCTCTCTTATGGCTTCCATTATATTATTATTTTTTCTTAATATATTAATATATATTTTTTAACTTCTGAAATTTTAATGTTATTGAGTTTGTTGGTATCTCTACGTTGCCATCCAATTCATGAACATAAAATCTTGGTGAAATTTCTTTAGAAAGATCGCTTCACTTGTTAGGCCCCTACTTGGTGCCTCTCAGTTCGTACAACCATCATGCTACTCATTTCGTGAGCGATATGTGTTCTCACCTTTTCTCAATTATTAATGTTTTGCCTTTCCCGACTGTGCGAGTCGAAACATTTCCTCATCTGACTTGGATCTCCTTTCTTTTGATTAATTTGGACAAGAGTTATGAAAGATGCAAGACAAACTAAATGGCAAGAAATACATTTGAACTCAATAAATTATGTTCATTGATTCCTTCAATAATGAAGTAAAGCTATTTAAAAAATTCAGTATAATTCACATTGAACTTTTGAAAATAGTTGGAATAAAAATCATACACTCATGAATTGCTAAAATGAATTATGATCTTGACTTACAAAATAAATTTAACCATTGTCGTAAATGATAGGGGAACTAATAGAACCGCATATCTCTTCCATTCTGCCTTCCAACTTATATCATTATAATACATAAACGATATATTTTCTGCACGTCTCCATGTTTTGTTGACTTTTACAGAAGGTTGTTAAAGTGGTACATATTCTTGCTTATATCAAGGATTGCTGCAATGGTAAGAACTCAGGTTTCTAAGTATAAGAATGCAGTTTGAATGCAAGAGCAGTTACTCTCTAGAAAATATGACAAAAGATTAGGTTTGTATTCAGTCCATCCCTTCCAGGACCGTACAAAGACATGACCAAAACTGGATAGTGTGTCTCTCTCTCTCTGGTATCAGTTGGCTTTTCGAGTTAGCTCTTTCTCTGGTATACATATTTCGTGTTTCACCCTGTATGAGGAGAGGGGCAATTGTTATAACTGCTTACAAGAAATTTTATTTGTAACCCTGAGTTTATTAGATTAAGATATTGCGTAATTCATACCCTCTTGTAGAGGTTCAATTATTTAGAATGCTCTCATATTGAATTATCTTCTACTGGTAACTGGTCAGGTTCCACCAGCTTTACTATCATCTTTCTGTTGGTGGCTACATGGTGACATAATATTGATTTCAAATTTGTCCCATCATTTTATATTCTTTTTGCATCTAAAGGAACTTATGGAATTCTCTTTAACACATGTCCCTGTCGATAAATTTGTTTATTGGACTGTCTAGGGAACACATGCATTTGGAAACGTTCCAGTGTTTCTCACATAATGTCATACTTTATTTTGGGCATAACTGCCACCATTGCACTATTTTGTTTTTGTAATTTTTTATTTTAAATTTTTTCCTTAGTGGAAGGAAAGCTGTGGAATTCACCAATGATTTTTCACTACAAGTGGTAGAAACCAAGAGGCATCGATATTTTGGTTTTCAATGGCTTTTTTGTTTTTGGTTGTTGATGTTGAAAATAGACATTTATGTGTGTACTTTTTTACATTCTCTCTCTAGTTTTTTATTTCATATAATCATATATATATATATATATATATATATTTGATGTAGTTGTAATTGCAAGTAAGCTATAGTGACATCTCATATATTGGGTTAAATACTTATTTGGCTGTTGCTGATACCTCTTGGGTGGCAGTATGGATTCAGGATCTGCTGATTCACCAGCTCCACCGCCTATAAAAAGTCACGATGCAGAAGCTTCTGCTGTCACAGATTTTGGGCAAAATAATTCTGCGAAAGATGCACCATCTAAGCTATCAGCTTCTGGCATATCCTCATGGGCCAAAAATTTAAAAATTTCCCCCTCATTTGCGGGCACGCAAGATGAGTCACCATCTGGAAATGCAGGAAAATCAACCTTTGCTCGTTTTACTAGTGGGATTGGATTGCGCTTGTCTCCAAACTCTCCTCGGCCAGATGAAAGTGCTGATGGACCTTCAACACCAACACAACCTGGATTTCTTGGAACACTAACAAAAGGATTAGTCGACTCATCTAAGAGTGCAGTGAAGGCTGTGCAGGTCAAGGCCCGACATGTTGTATCCCAGAACAAAAGAAGATACCAGGTAATTTACTTATTGTGCTACTACTGTGATTTTATTTTACTTATTTGTTACTTTTATCTTAAAGATTATGAACTGCAATCAGCGCCCTTGAGGAGAAACAAGCAGATTGCAGTTCTTTTTTAAGATTCCAACAGTTCTCAGATGTAGATGCATGCACACGTAGGCTTGAACTTAATTCCTCTTATCCATGCAGTCCTCATAGGGATGACATTTAATAGATTTATGCTTTGCATTTGGACCACACAGCCCACTAACCTTATATTCCGAAGTCCCCTTTAAGTATGTGCTATTGTCGATTTTAATGGGCTAACGTAATTAATTGTATGCTCTGAACCCCAGAAGCATCCTTGGGCCTGACTCCTGAGTACTTCCTTCTTTCTTGTCTTTATTTTTACACGTCTTCAACTCTCAGAGTATAGAACATGTCCCTTTTAACCGTTGTATATTATATTAATCTTACTAATGATGCAATCCAAACAGAGAAAGCCACCTGGAGGTTTGTTCAGATATCCATAACGTTTTCCATCAAAACTGAATTTACAAAACCCCATAAAGGACTTCACAATACAACCAACCATCTTGACTTTGTGGCAGTCCGTCCCTCTCCCTCTCCCTCTCCCTCTCCTTTTGCAATAAACATGCCATCCAAGAATAGATCATTCTCACCACTATTTCAATTTCTTATCATGGACCAGCCTACAAACATCAATCCTGTTCTAGAGTACATGAGATGATCTGACACCATTGCCTTCCTAGTTCCCTATCAATAGCAATCCCAAACAATCTAGGCCTCTGTGAAACTTCATTTAAAATTTCTCAGTGGAAGAGAAATTCCCTATCAATAGCAATCCCAAACAATCTAGGTCTCTAGGGAGAGCAAATGCCCATCCAAAATATGGCCTTCCACCCAGAAAGCATTATGTGAATCCAAATGAGCTTCCTCAATCATGCTACCACTTAGAAATAACTAAAATTAAGATTATGTGGCAAGTTGTACATTCGAATTGCTGCCAACATGCCACTGTATTATGAGTATGAATATGCTACTGAATATGAAGGTATAACTTTTATAAACTTTGAATTATACAAATTTTGCTATAGATTTCTACCATATTGAATCTTTTGATGAGGTTTTTGATTGCTGAGTACACAACTCTGATTTCCCTGAAATACGGGTATGGGATGACTCAAAGCTGGGTCTCTTTAGCTTATTAAAATTTTTCAAGGGGTCCCAAGAAGCACTTTTTGGGTGCAGCAAACACTCCCATAAGTTATTGAGGGCCTAAAACATCCAAAAAGCTAGGTTAAAATATGCCGCCAGAACCCTTGGCACATTCCTGCAAACTCTATACCTGGTTCCTAAGCATTGCTAGATATGCTTCGCAAACTTTGCATGCATGTAATTGTCTTCCCAGTTTTGCATAAGGATAATCGCTTGGACTCCATCCTCCCATTGGTCCCTTCACTCAATTATCAGTCCTAACAGGATAAGCAAAGGAAGACATTCGTTCTGATCATGTAGGTGGTGGTGTACCCCCAAATTCCAAAGGTACTGGGAGAGGACTGCCCAAAACCCCAGGTGCATCCAACTCCAAGACTAAATAACCGAGATCCGAATATCATTTTTTATTGATTTCGTTAAAACCCTCATGACCTATTGCACGTGTGATCACTAAACTTATCAATCTTGCATACCAGAGAAACTGTAGGTGTTACCGGGTGTTCATATTTTCATTAATATATTTAGATCATTTATTTATCAATGTGTAACTGTGACTCTATCCCTGTTTTTTAGGAAGGAGGATTTGATTTAGATATGACATACATCACAGAGAATATAATTGCTATGGGGTTTCCTGCTGGTGATATGAGTTCTGGGTTTTTTGGATATGTAGAGGTAAGCAATTCAGAACAGTCTGCGGCCGAACTTCACTCATACTAGTTCAGTTATGGTACCAATGTTTAACCAATTTGAATATGTGATGCAGGGGTTCTACCGAAACCACATGGAAGAAGTTATTAAGTTTTTTGAAACCCATCACAAGGTAACGACATTTCTTCATATATGCATATACATGTGTGTATACACACACACGCCTATAAATATTTCCTCTGAATGGCAGTAGCATTATAATTCTAGAATCATGATTCTTACCACTTCTGTTTTACTATTTATATCAGAACTTTCGATGTTGGATATGTTGATATGGCTATCCACTTGTTTATTTTGAAATATATCACGATTATTGTTTAGAAAAAAGAGTGAGTAAATTACACTCACACCCTCTGAGGCTTGCCCTATCTACCGTGTATAATTTGGAGAAACCCACACTCACACTCCCTGTGGTTTGACCTTTGATTACACTCAACCCCCAACTATCTTCCGTCAGTCAGAAAAGTACTCTGACACCATGCGAATTCCCATTTTACCTCTTGACTTGGTGAAAGGACCTATGACCTTACTTTCTCACTTGAAATGACTAATTTATCCCTTGAAAACTTTCATATATGGACAAATATAACCTTTTTACATTGTACATAAGTTGTCTATACTCTCTCCAAACGTACAAATTCATGCAAATTTCAAATTAGCAAATTACTGCTAAAAATTTTAAAAAATTGAAAATGTAAATTACATATGCTGTAAATTTTAGTTTTTTAAAATTTACAGCATATTAGTTACTTATCAAAAAAAAAAAAAAAATGCTGTAAATTTTAGTAATTAAAAATGTAATATATATGTCAAATATAACTTATATAATCCATAGTTTTTCATGAAATATTCAATTATATATTAAAATAAAATTTACTTATAAACATTTAATTCTCTAAAATTTGCAACTTATATAATTTGCACATGCACATTAAAAAATATATAATTAAAGATCATATATATGAAAAAATAAATATGAATTTATTAGATTAAAATGAACATTGAATATATATTTTAGTATATTACAAAACTATTATATATTAATACATACATATTTATGCATACAGCATATATATTGCATTGCCATACAATCATACACCGCCATATATTCTCCCAAGGAATCCAATTTTCACTTTGTAGCAACGAGGCTATGGCGGTGACGTCAATGGGGAAGGATTGTTTCTCGAGTGGAGAGATAGGGTGGGCGGTGGTCCGTTGAGTGAGAGAGAGAAACAGTGGCCGTGGTGGAGAGAGAGAGAGGAGCGGTGATAGTGGTCGGGTGGAGAGAGAGAGAGAGGGGTGGGCATTGGACTGGGGAGGGAGAGAGAGAGTGAAAAAGATGGTGGGTCGGCTGAGAGGGGATGGGGGTAGGTGAGAGGTTGTGGCTGAGAATAAAAGGGGGGCAACTTTGTAATTTCCAACTGAATCTTGTATGATTAAAAAGATGGTATTCTTGAAGGGCAAGAGTGTAATTTCATGTAGAAAGTCAACTGCCATTACTGACACAAGTCTGATATGGGTTGTAAGTGTAGGTTTTGCCAAACTACACTTATGAGTGTAGTTAGGGTAAATCTCAGGGGGTGTGAGTGCAATTTTCCCACCAAAAACAAAAGAAAAAAAAGAAAGATATTTTATCTAATTAGTTGCAGTGAGTGTTTTTCATTTGGGTTAATTACGTTGATATCAATTAGTTTTCCCTAACTACAGACGCATAATGAGTTCGGCAATAATACATTGAACCTGTCAGAGTTAACTGGCTAAACAACCGTAGATGGCTTGTGTGAAATGACTTTGTTACCCTCAATTGTTTTAAATAGTTTTTTCAATAAAAACACAAAAATTCAACTTAAGTTTAAAGATTAATATAGTTTTTGCTGCACAGTAACTAGGGCTTGTTCCATCCAATCACACTGTGCGCGCTAAACACGTAACATACCATTATTCATATCCACATGACATGGATATGAAGGTTAATTAGTCCACCTACCTACATCCTATATCAATGTCATAATCTTCACATTGTTTCTAGGCTTTTTAAGTCTTTACAGCCAAACGAAGGCAAATCCTGTATTTTAGAAAATTTCACCTAACAGTCCAACAGCGAATTAATAGGAGGGATAATCTGAAATCGTGAGCCAAACCTCAAGAGAGGTCTTTGGCCATTTTGCCAAAATCTACATGAGTGTGTTAGTTGGCCAAACCACAAGTAAGACCTGTCTAATTTACCCTTTTCATTTTTGTTTCTTATGAGCTTAATGAGGATATGTCAAACATTTTTCTACTTTTGTTTTAAGTTTATTTCTTAGGAGCTTGATGAGGCTATGCCAAAGATTTTCTGCTTCTATTTATAGGTGACGGTTGTGGATTACCGTCCGTGATAGTTGACTGAAAATAAACTAGATCATCTATCTGCAAGTAAATTTCTTTTGCTTGTGTTTTGTTTTAAGTGTATTTCTATGACCACTTAATGCATGTTATCGCGGGTAATTTAAGTTCTGCTCGGTGCAAGAAGAAGGATGGCCAGAACAACTCATCTGTAATTTTTCTCGAGTTCCGGTCATGTCTATATTCTCAAATGTTAAAGCTTCACTCCTTATATCTGTTATAAACTTATATTAAAGCTTTACTTCTTGATGGTCTTGAAACCAAGCAACAATTTTTGTACTTTCCGTCCTCTGGAGTCTGGATCTTTCTATACATTGTCACATATTACTCTTTTGGTGCCTTTTCCAGATTTATAAACTGCCTTCTGTAGATATGATTGCCTGGCATGGTTGCATTTTCCATTGTGCATGCAAAGGCTTATGCAACAGTCAGAACACAGAGAACCTAGTGTATTTGTGGATAAAGTAACTAGTCTTACCTTGTGTTACCTGGACTCGCCTGTTCAGGCCGAAGTGTCCGTGTCGACACGACACGACACGGACACGGACACTGGATCTGAGTCGGATCCTTCATGGCGTCTACCGGACACGGCTGATAGATGACGAAAACTCAAACAAAGATGTTTGGGTTGGTACTTGTGAAGGATTGCGAACTTTCTTCATGCTTTATTTGTTAAATAGGTTGCCATTAATGAGATCAGAAAACTTACTGGTACAACAATGGCGGTTTGCTTCAAAAGTAGCGTCTTTCGAAGGTTAGAGAAGACTGAAGTGTACGCGCTTTGTTTGCACAAAATTTTGTAACGGCCGAGCGTGTTTTCACATTCTTACTAATGCTTTTAATACCCTTCAACGGTCACGATCACGCCACTTGTCAATTTGGATGTAAAAATATGGGAGAGTTTGGTCTTTTAACAAGGATAATGTTTTACAGCTGTAAAACACTATCTAAGCTATGAACAATTTACAACTGTACTGGGACAGCTGTATTATTTTATTTAAGTAATATCTATCGGTCAATCTCGAGCAAATTTTTTGACCTGACAGTTTGACTTTATAAATAAGGTAATATTATTATAACAGTTGTATTACCTTTTTTTTTTTTACAGTAAATCCATTCATTAAAAAAAAGAAACTGTACAAGGAAAGGCCTAGCCCAAAGGCAGCCCAGAAAAACAAAACTAAAACTGGCCCATACAGGAGCACATTGCAGTTGCATCCACAACTGTAAGAACAGGTACAAGTGCAACAACAGAGCAAAAAAAGAAAACCTGCATCACAAAAAAATAGAGCTTGGAAGGCTCCACGCTGCTATCTTTACATTTATATATTTATTCAATTTTTCATTAAAAAACTGAGGTCTAACATAAAAAAGGGTACATTTTTTTCTTTTCCTACAAGTGTCCAAGTGTCCGTGTCCAACTTTTGGACACTTTTATTCCGTGTTCCCGTGTCCTATAATTTAATAGATGGCTGGATCCGACCTCTGGACACGCACCCGTGTCCGACACCCGCACCCGAGTCCAGGTAACATAGGTCTTACCGTCTTAGAACGAACTGTATAGAAAGAAGAGGTGGTAGAGGAATGAATGTGAGGAGAAAAAAGAATGTGTCAAAGCTTGGTTGCTTAAAATCTGTTACACGGTAACTATTAGTCTAGAATCTAGATCCCTTGAGATTTTTGTGGGCTTTCTTAGGCATTTCAGTTTTGGACTGCAACTTGGGTGGACTAACCTGACTCCAACCCGAAAATTTTCCTGCTTGGTTCGGTTCGGGCTTGGGCTGGAAAGAGGAAGCCAAATTCATTTTGGACTGGGCAGAGGTTCATGTGTTGGGTAACCTGAAGCCCAACCCAAAACCGTCCTTAATATGCTAACCTGAGGAACCTGATAATATGTAATAGATATGTGCGTGTGTGTGTGTGTATTTATATAATATTTGTATTGCTTACTCTTGATAGGTAGTTTGTAATATTTGTATTTCTTGCATTGAGTTCAATATTTTGTCAACTGTTGTGTTGAAGTATGATACTAGCATGGTTGTCTCACGTTAGTTTTTTAGTGTGGAGATTGGCCATATGGGCAACTCGAGTTACGAACCCAAATTCAACTGAGTTTAAAAATTAAGGGATGGGTTGGGTTAGGTTGAACATTTCACATGTCGGGTTGAGCCTGAGTTGTACCTCCAACCTGCCCAACCTGCCTGAGTTGCTGCCCTATTTCAATCTGTGTTCTGTGCTCTTTAAGACGAGGAAGTGATTTTTTATTTTTGGTTAAGGCTGCTGTTTGTTCATGTTATTGAAAGGAGCTCCCTATGTTGGCCCTTCTTTCTTGGCACATTGTTCTCGTTCTTGTTTGCTGATGATTTTGGGGCAGCTGTTGTTGCATCTTGGCGGTGGGAGAATGTTTTGATACGAATATGATCAGTCTAGCCGATTCTTAAGGGGATAGATATTATTTCACCTTTGTTATTGCCCAGTCATTGATCAAATCCTGATGGAAATATGGTCAATTTTACCTCGATTTGTGATCAAATTTGTCAATTTTGTTTTGTTTCATTTTGTCTTGTTTTGGACAAGAATTGGAATGGTGAACCACTTGTTTTACTTCTGGGCCATTTGCGGTCTATTTCAGCCGGTTTTAGTTCATTTGGCCATTGCAGGTTTTTCCTGTCCATGTTGATTTCGACTGATTGTGGACAAGGGATTCAGTTTTTGTATTTAGACAAGTGGGCCCAAATAGTTGGCACAAGTGTATTGTCAGGGAAAAAAAAAATGGAAGGAAAAAGAGTTGGCATAAGCTTTGTTGAGATGTTGATCGGATTATATCAGTTTTCACTATATTATAATTTTGTGGACCGGTTAGGATTTAAATCCGATCTCTGAAAAAGTGTTGCTCTCTTATTCTTTAATGCCATTTTCCGTAGAAATGGAAACAACAGTCTGTTATTAACTTCTAATTTACATTGTGATTGTTATTATATACTGTATTTGGTGGTCAAAATTTCCGTTTGTGGCTTTTTGTATATCAAAATTGTTTTCTAACTTTTGATCAACTTTCTATATGCAGGACAAATACAAGGTATACAACCTTTGTTCTGAGAGGCTGTATGATGCATCACTATTTGAAGGAAAGGTATGTTATTGTTTTTATTTTACAGATTTTCTGTATTTCAAACTTAAGATATGAACTGATGGTTTGTTTATGCATTTAAAAGATTGTCATGATTGGGGAGAATATCGAAACTTATATGCCCTTTTTGTTTGTGATTGATGGCTGATGGATAAAATTTCACTAGCTTTGAGTTATATGTTGCCTATGATACTGATTTTCTCAACATTTGAATATACCACTTTTGTTGGATTTATCTAAGTTAAGATTCGTTGAGGTTTGTGCAGCTGCAACTTGTTTATGTACCTCTACAGCTATAGTATTGTTTTACGTGAAAGTTAGAAGTGTATGTTCTGTATTACATATTTTGAAGAATCATTTATCAACCATGAAAGCGTTAGTTATTGACTAATATATAAATGAAGGAAGAAGAAACTTTAGTCATTGTAAAATAGTGATGAGTATATATTTTGTTTTACACCTGAATTGTAAAGTTGGTTGGGATGTGTATATTTTTGTGGAGGTAAAGTCTGTTCTTAAACTCTGGTGAAGTTATTCACGGCATTCTGAAGGAGCACCACGTAATAGGTTATGCTTATTAAGTTTGAATATATGGATATTTAGACAGCTTGATGATCCTGAGGCTGCCTTCCAGGCAGATGTATAGAAGTTGTGTGACAGCTTCTTACAGTTGACATATTACTCTTTGTGCAGGTTGCTAGTTTCCCATTTGATGACCATAATTGCCCTCCTACTCAACTTATAATTTCATTTTGTCAAAGTGCGTACTCATGGTTGAAGGAGGATATTGAGAATGTTGTGGTTGTGCATTGTAAGGCTGGAATGGCTAGGACAGGGCTAATGATATCTAGTCTTCTTTTATATTTGAAGGTAAGATTTTTATTATATTTGTCATTAGCTTTGCAATGAGTCTGGTAAAAAAATATTATCACCTGTTTTTATTGTGCTGCCCATTTTTTTGACTGCAATCTACTGCGTTTGCCATTTGATGTACATCAAGTTTAGTGGAAAATTGATCACCTATTTTGATTGTGCTGCTCGGTTTTGTGACTGCAACACTACTACATTTGCCTCTCTGCAGTTCTTTCCCACAGCTGAGGAGTCCATTGAGTACTACAACCAGAAAAGATGTTTCGACGGAAAAGGGCTAGTTCTGCCAAGTCAGATTGTCAGTTTTTTTTTTCCCCTATATTATCTCTCTAAAGTTATTTATTCTTTACATGTTGCCTTTCTGCTCATCTCCTTACTTATCTATAATAATCTGTTTTTCCTTTTTCTGCTTTTGTAGAGATATGTCAAATATTTTGAACGTATCTTAACATACTTTAATGGAGAAAACCCACCTGGACGCAGGTATACTTAATAATTTACATGCATAAAAATGCATATTTGCCTGTTATTAGTCTTAGCTCATGAACATGAACTGTTAAAAATTTGTGATCTTATTCATGAATGTCCCCAGAAGATATTGTCTTAGAAAAAGCTGAATGATGACAAATTGCATATATATAGCCAACCCGAAGTTCGGTTCTAAGGCTATGTTGACTTGTTTAATTACATTATATAGGTGCATGCTGAGGGGATTTCGGCTTCACAGATGCCCTTATTGGATTAGACCATCCATTACTGTCTCTGATCATAATGGTAAGCTGCAATATTCTTTCTTGTTAAGATAGTTTTTATTTACATCTGATTTCTGAATTTCATCTACAGATTGCATTTGATTTCTGAATTTCATGCATAGATCTTCATGATAATATGTTTATCCCGATCCTACATAGTTCCACGAGTAGTGTTGTAGGATTATTCTATTTTCAGAGTGGCTGGCAAGGATAATCCAACTGTGTTTTCCTTGATTTTTTTTTTTTTTTTTTCTCTCTCTCTTTATGAGTATAGATCAAGATTTTATAATTTTTGCCCCAAAAAAAAAAAAAATTCCTGATCCTACATAGTTCCACGATTAGTGTTGTAGGATTATTCTATCTTCATAGTGGCTGGCAAGGATGATCCAACTGAGTTTTCCTGGATATATTTTTTCTCTCTTTTAGTGAGTACAGATCAAGATTTTATAATTTTTGCAATAAAAATCAGGGGAGGACCTGTATTTTTGGTAGTTATGAATAATGGAACAATAAGATATGATTCATTTATGCAAGCTTGATGCAACAGTGGATTTAAATTTCAAGAAGGTAAATGTGTTATTGGGCGTGATTACTTGAGCAATCTTGTGAGATTGCCATTGAAGAAATGATTTCTGAGTCCATTCAGTTGGGAGTTGAAATTTGGGTGCAATTATTGACCTTAAGAGTTATTTTAGGGATTGCCATGTAACAAATAAATCATGCAGTGCATTTTACCCCAACCCGTAGTGCTCTTATTGGGATGGGCTTGGGAAGGACTCAAACATGGTAGGGGCAGGTTGAGGGTGAGGTAGCTTTTCTACACGGTTTACATGGTTTTTAAATTAAAAATTCCCGTATACAATTCAAAGAGCCTTTGCTACATAACTTCATTTGGGGTCTCTAAACATCATTTCCATCACGGTCTTGTCCCTTTCTCTCTCTCTCATGGGCTCACTCTGTGATGCTGATACTGCAGCCTGTGTATGACATAGATGCTCATACTTGATGGCCTTCTTTGCCATGAATTTTACCATGTTGTGGCAATCAAATGTTGCCATTTCCAGCCCTAACTATTTTTGTTCAAATTGAAGTTTGAACTAATTGATGTTTTTATACCAACTACTTTTATGATTATTTATTGTGCTAGATCTTCTGGATCAAAAGTGACGTGTTTGTTTTGCCTTTTTTCTGTTATGTAATAGCTTAATTCACAAAGAATGATGCGACAAGATCCATAATTTACTTGCAATAGTTGGTAGTTTTGAATCTAGGTTGCAGTTTTGGGTACTTTTCATCTTTGCAGCACTGTATAGCTTTATAATTATGCACCATTTGCTTCTACATTCTGTTATTATTTATTCAATGCTAAGAATTTTATTTACTGATGATGCTTTCCTAATCTCCAGGAGTTCAATTCTCTACAAAAAAACATCCAAGAACCAAAGATCTGTCGGTAGGTCTTTTGATAATCTGGTAGCTATTAAACATTGACTTCCAGGATACTGATGCCTCTATAGTGATTGATTACTTTCGACTTTCAGAGTATTCTATTGCGAAGTTAAGTTTTCATATACTTTTTATTTATTTGTGCAGTCTGAAGATTTTTGGTTTAGTGCACCAAAGAAAGGTATAATGGTCTTTGCTCTGCCAGGGGAGCCTGGTCTGACAGAGTTGACTGGGGATTTCAAAATTCATTTTCATGACCGCCAAGGGGATTTTTACTGGTATGTCAACTAACAACCCACCACCATCCCTTCCGAAGAGAAAAAGAGAAAAAAAAAAAAAAGGACAATGCAGATACCAGCACAAAAACCTACTTAAATCTCTTAAGCTTTTTATTTTTATTTTTAGATTGTAACTAAAATTAGTAATTTATTGTTGTACTTGTTTTTTTTCAGTTGGTTAAACACAACAATGATCGAGAACAGAAAAATTTTGAATACAAATGACCTTGATGGGTTTGACAAGGTAAACATCACTCTTTAATGCAATGAGCATGTTAAATATTGGTTGTTGACCTCAGGACATCTGTTCTAAATGTTTCTGTAAAAGGAGCTACTTATCTGTAGAGAATAGTTGCCTTTCTTCTCTGGTCCATATCAATGTTTTTATACGCTTTCCAAGTTCTGGTGTTTATATTTCTGCTTATTTCTTGGTCTGAATTGTGTACAGAGGAAACTGCCGTCCCCAGGATTTCGTGTTGAGGTTGTGCTTGTGGACTATGATAGCGATGTTCCAACAAAGCCTACAACTGAAACTGCTGCAGATAGATCAGCTGAAAGTTCAGCTGCCACTCCTGCTTCGGTTGATGGCGGTGCAGTTGCTGCAAACTCAAATAACGAATCAGCAAGCAATGAAAAAGATGACGTGTTCTCAGACAGTGAAGCAGACGAAATGGGGCCTCCAAAAGGCAGGCAAGCTAAAGCAGCTTCTGTAGCTGGGGGATCTGTCAAAGCAACTGCCTCCGCTGCTGAAACCAAATCTAATCCAGACCAGATTGCAAGTCTGACACGCAAGACCGAACAGATCAGTTTGGGAACCACTGGCCCTACGCAAATGCATTCTACTAGTGAGCCGAAAAGGGATGGCATTGGGGAGGTCCCTAATCCGGTTGGAGAGGTCAGTGATTTCAAGGCAATGGCCGCCGATGCATCTGTTTTTTCATTTGGAGATGACGAAGACTATGAAAGTGAGTGAACAAAGGGATATATTTATTGATGGCTTTGATATTGAACATGTCTGTACATACATGGCTTGTGAGAAGTTAGATTTTCCATTTCCAGGCAACAATTTGTTCCATTAATTTTATTTTACACGTTCAAGTCCCGTTTCGGCTTATTGGTTCCGTAAATCAAAAGTCAGCTTGAGGTGAGAACTATCGTTTCATAAAATTATTGTGTATCAATACAACTAAATCTGTTTATGTTTTATCTTTCCGTTCATCAATACTTACATTTGTTGTTAGGTCACTGGTTCTTGCTATTACCTTTTTTTTTTTTTCTTTTTTTTTTTTTTTTTTTGTTGTCACTGTGAAAATCAGACCAACAAAGGATTTACTTCTATTTTGAATAAATTACCCTCAGAGTCTCTGGGTTTTGGCAAATTTACCATGAGATGGAACTTTTGAAGAAAAAATATGGTCAACATCTATTGGTTTGATGAAATTATTGTACCTCCGTCAACCGTTAAAAAGTGAACTATAATGTTGCCGAGGTTGGCAGGAGTGCCGTGAAAACTACTACTAATATGGACGAGGAGGATTTGTGGCATGTTTGGCCAAGTTGGCTTCAATTTTTTACCTGAAAAAATATGAAAGTCAAAGACGCACTATGGGAAGCAAAAATGAGAAACAAGGCATTTTTTACGATATAAGATTATCATAGGTTTTTTTAGTGGCAAGTCTCCCCCATTCCGCGTCCACTTGGAAAAACATAGGATTACCATCCCATATGCAACTGGCAATTGCTAGGAAAAAAAATAGGTTTATTGTCCCACAAATTACCAAGATAAAAATAGGGGTACTATACTTGTTCTATATACATTGAACAATTACCAAGAAAAATTAAGTCTATCATTTCACATGCATTGGGCAATTACCAGGAAAAAATAGGTTTATTGTCACACGTACACCGGTCAATTACCAAGAAAAATAGAAGGTATAAATAGAATTTTGTAGTCTAAAAAAACAAAGGAGAAGACTTGGGTTGTCACCGGTGACGCTGATTGATTTGCAAATTTGCAAGTTTTTTTTTTTGGTTCAAGTGTGAACGTTTATATTTTTTCCAGTGTAAAAGTACATAAAGAAGGAAAAACAAAGAGCACGGAGTACTAGGAAAAAAAGAGAGAAGGAAAAGTATTAAGTAGAAATTTGTTTAGTCCAATAATAATAATGATAAATAATTTTAAAAAGCACAAAAAAAAAAGGAAAATGAAAAGTAGAATTTTGTTGTCCAGTTCAAAACATGAAAGCAAAAGACACAATAATAAACGGTGTTCTGTTTTTGCTTTTAGAATTGTGACAACAAAATGGTTTTAATAAACACCATTTTTCTCAGAAAAATAAAATTATATTTCTATTTCTTGCACATGCAAAACGCAGCCTAATTTTTAAGTTGTGGAAATAAATTAGACAATGACTGCGTTTACTAATGTGAAACAATTTCTTTTTTTGCTTCTGCAAGAAATATAAATATAATTTTATTTTTTATACGTAAAAATGATATTTATTAAAATCATATTGTTGTCACAATTTTGAAATCAAAACAGAAAATAGTTTTTAGTAACATATATGTTAAACATTTTTTGTTTCCTATTATATTTTGGATTTATCAATTAAAAACTTACCTTCAAATCCTAGCAGTTAATTTGCGATTATTATTATTATTATTATTTTTTATTTTTTTGAGTAACTATAGAATAGTGATATCTTACTCACCGTGAGACAATTTTTTTTTTTTACACATCTGCCATTTGATTAAATCCAAAAGTGATATTACAAATCTACCTTTCTTCCTTCCTAATCCAGCAAAATCATTATTCTACCCCTTTAGAGTTTCCTAAACCACTTTTCTCCTTATTTAAACTATACTAAATTGATATTATAAAAAAAAAAAATAGTATAAATTAGTATTTCGATTTGAGAAACTTTTGACGACCCATTCAATTTTTGATAAAATTTTGTTATCAATGAGAATTAAAATATTGTTTCATGCTTTTCATTTTTGAGAATTAAAATTTATTTACTATAAATTGATATGGTTGGCACATTACATTATTTTTAATCATTTTTTGAATTCTTTGATTCTTTTTTTCTTAATTTCAACTATTCATTAGTTCAATTCAGTGAAGACAAAAAAATTCTATTGAATTTTTATCCTCTCGAAAAAATTTCTATTGAATTTATATCAAAATTCATGTTGAATTTTTATCTTCTCGAAAAAATTTCTATTGAATTTATATCAAAATTCATGTACATATTATTTTAGCATTTATACATCTAACTTTGTTCTTAAACAAATAAAAAGTGATGAAAACGTATTGGCCGCTTTAATGAGAAAACAAAGGGAAAGGACTTTTATTATATATATTTGCTTTTATTTTGTTTTTTTTTAAGAAAAACAAAACAGAAAATAAGAAATGTACTCCGTATATGGTTAGTGAGCGCAACTTTGACAAAATGGAGTGCACGAGAACCATGGGGACACTCTGTAATAAGAATTTATTTATTTCGAGGAAGACTTTGTACTCAAGACGACTTGTTCATCAAAACCAACCGTATTGGGTTACGCGGTTTATGACCATACTACATAACCAAAGTGCGACAAGTAAAAGGTCTCTTTCAATTCCATGTATCAACAATCTTCAATCCCATCGTCTGCTTACCCTTCCATGTCGATTACTGGTATTCAGGGCCAACTTCTCGAAATCACTGGTACATCTTTTCCTCTTTCTCTCTCTATACACAACTCGTGTGTGTCACTGTGTGAATATACATATATCAGTTTGTGATTGGTGAAGTTTGGATGCAGTGGTTGGTTGTAACAAATTGAAAGACACAGAGTGGATCTCAAGGCAAGATCCCTACGTTTGTCTTGAATATGGTAGCACCAAGTTCCGCACCCGCACCTGCACAGGTTCCCCTTCTCTCTCTCTCTCGATTTGTCTCTCTCTCTCTATGTATTTATGTGTATCTATATACTTAGATCTGTTGTGTTGTTTGTTGAATTTTTGTACTGGTTAATTCTTAGACACAACTATTCAATTTTTAAATATAGATGGAGGCAAAAATCCTACGTTTCAAGAGAAATTCGTGTTTTCGCTGATCGAAGGACTACGAGAGTTGAATATTGTGGTTTGGAATAGCAATACTGTCTCTTACGACGATTTCATTGGCAGCGGAAAGTAATTATTTCACCTTTTTGACCTCTTTAACTTTTTTTTTTTTTTTTGATTTTTTGATTTTTGATTTTTTCATTCTCTTCACTCGGTTTTATCTAATATTTGGGCGATCTCTTTGGGGGGTTTTTGCTAATTTTAGGGTTCAATTACAAAAAGTTCTCTCTCAAGGCTACGACGACAGCCCTTGGCCACTGCAGAGTAAAACTGGCAGGTATATTCCGAAACACCACTTCAATTTTTGATATTCTGGATAAAATTATGTATACTTTGATGAGTTTGCAAATTCCAATAAAATTAAAATTTTTGGAGTTCTTATTGTGCAAAATCGGTACTTGCACTCAATTGAATTTTTGAGTTTCTTAATGGGAAAAATTTAGGCTAAACCGGCATGGTTTAGCCTTGGTTGGAAAAGTATTTAGGTCAAAAGTTTGTCTTTAACTACTTGGTCGTCAACTGTATGAAACCACCTTTTTCAAACTCATATGGATTAAAAGAATAGGAGCGGTGAGGAGAGTAGATTAAGATGACCATCCAAGAAGATGGATGCCAACAAACCTCCACTTGCTTCATACGTATCGATGGTAACATTAATATGTCTGTCCTTGTTTTATCTTATGTTCTTAACAAGAAATGGAATATTGAGAAAGCTTTATCTTTTAAGATAGAAAGAAACTCGGATTTGTTACTACAGCACACAGGTCTTGCCCTGTATGTTTCCGCCTTGTCCTCCGGGTTCTCAAAATGGAACACTTCCATATTCCCATTGGCTTTTTAAATTATTATTGAGCCACTGGCCTCTCTCCTTTATGTGAGTAGGTAGAACTTTTACGTTGTTCAATTTAAGCAAAATAATTTCTCTCCTCACACCATCTGTTTGATAGGTTAAGTTTTTGGCTGGAGGAAGTGGGTTATCTGCATATGCTATAGAGAGAGAATGATTCTTCCGGTTCATGAAGAAGGGGAGAGGCATGCTTTGTAACAAACACATTGATTGATGGCTTATGACATCAGATTGTGCTTCGTGACAATTTTTAGGTTTTGCTGGCAAAATGAAAAAGAATACTGCGGATTTGTGTCCTGCCAGCAGAACCAAATAAAAACTTATAAAAGAAGAAAAAAGAAAAAAAGAAAAAGAAAAGAATATTGTCTAAGTGTTGTTTGGACATTTCTTCCAAATCTATCAATTCATTCATAAAGTTTGCTGGAGTTGTGAGCAATCCCTGCAAAATCATCATGGGTAGTTGCACCAATGCACGGGATGCTATGTTATAGCCTGCAATGTCAAGTTGTCAACTGCGATGGTGAATTATTGCTAGTAAGGAACTATAATCCTGGTGGGTTGAGGTTTTTTTGGTTAATTGCTACGGTTGTTTCATCCAGTTACAGGATTTCACATCATATTTTCCAAATTCCAAGCTAAGAGTTATGTTTTGAGCATAAAATTAGGGGAATGGGTGAAGAATTCTATTTTATGCACAAGAACGTAGATTGGATGACTCTTACTGTTAACTTTCTTCAGTTTGTATCCATACCACTAGATTTTGAGTTGTTGGGTGAGCATGAGCTTGTGAGCTTAACCAATATGAATTCGTACAACACTTTTTGCTGCTGCTCTTCATGACGAACCACCCCATATAAGAACTTATTTTTATAATAAGATAAAAATTAAATATGAAAGAAAATTAGAAGAGATTGCTGGTAAGACAAAGAAGAATGGCCTTTCCCCTCTTACCCAATGAAGAAGGGTTTAAGGCTTCTTTCTTGAGGGAAGGGTTGGTTGATGGCTTGGTTAAAGATCGCGTGATTCATATTCATATTATATACGTTCACATATATTTTGAAAAGAAGGATCTTGTTTAATGCAGTGGTAAAGCTTGGAGTGACAAGTGTGTGGTCTTGGGTCCCGGTCTTAGAATAATCACTTTAACAAAATATTGTTGAAGTTTAAGGCTGTAACTCTGTATCCAGTCTTCCTCTTTAGAATTCCACATGGACCAGACATACTAGATAACACAAATACATATATTTTGAAAGAGTTGGGGGTGTCGAAACACCTCATTTTTGCTACGTTGAGAGGAAGATTAGTGGGCTTCAGTCATTACTTGAAACTCTTGAGACAAATTCCTATTAAGTTCCTACTATTGTAAAATATAGCATGTGGTTTAATCCTATGCAATCTTCCTTCACAGGCATGCAGGAGAAGTTCGTCTCATATTGCATTACGGAAATGCTAATGTAAGCCCTATCTGTTCTTTTTTTTTTTTTTTTTTGTTTTTTTTTTTTTTTTTCACTTTGTTGATCTGTGAATTATATAGAACAGCCATCACCCAGTTGTGGGTTAGTTAGATGGCCTTGAATTTATGCATTCTCATTTGATAACTGAATCCAAATAACGGTGGTATTGTTGGGTTGTTACAGAAAGCTTCAAGCCATGCTCCATCAGGTTCTCATCATGTAGCGTACTCTGTACCCCAAGTCTCTCTGTACTCTGCACCACCGCCAGTATCAGCATCTCCTTACCCACAATCAGCCACACCCTACCCGGCACCATCTCCTTATCCTTCGTATCCACCTAATCCAACAGCATATCCAACATCTGCATACCCTCCACCTCAGCCAAGTGCTTACCCTCCTCAACCGTACCCACCACCTTCAGCATATCCTCCAGCGCAATATCCACCACCGCCACAGGCCTCACCCTACTATCCTTCAGGTAACTTTTTTTTCTATCCATGCTTCATTTTTCGATCCATCACATTGTAATTACTAAATGTAATTCTCTTTACAATCAGGTCCACAGTATGCAGGCATCTACCCGCCACCGCCATACTGAGAGTGCTCCTACATGATACCCAAGTGAAGGAACAAAATTTAGAACTCGCGAACAATTGTCCCATATTATGTGATTATGACTTGGTAGTTGTGCTGTCTTGTGGTAACTGAATTTATTTTTTGGATTCTTGTCAGTAAAACTATTCATACCTTTGTTTTTTTCTTCCCTCTCTACTAGTCTCGAAACTTGACCTAGGTTTGGGAGTTGAGACGCATCCACTAGGACAAAGGTTGAAGGTTGACCAGTAAACTGTTCATATATTTTATTATTAGCATGAATTATTGCAGTGGTTGTTTTGTTACCTGCATTCTTTTGATAGAGTGATTTGTTTATGGTAGTATGGCGACACTTTGTTCATACCAAAGGTTAATGGCTTATGAGCACCTTTGCATGGTTGTTCTGAGCCACTTGACATACAAATGTTGTGTGAATATTATATGGAATTGTCATCAATAACTTGGAATTCAATTTTTGTGTCATCAAAACATCATAAAATGAAAGGATTGTAAGGTCTAATGTGCTTTGTTTGTTGTTAATGACGAGAGAATTTTGTTACTATTTGTAATTTCTTCCAGCGTCTGACACGAAGTGTTATCGATAAAGAAATTGTTCCAATGGCAGTTTTAATGGCACCATGCAATTAGCTGCAACGCACAAGAAACTATCAAATGGTATAAAAAAAGGAGGAAAAACAAACAAAAATTCTATTTTTAAGTTCTGTTTGTTTTGGTGTAAAATATTCTTTTTGAAAAATATTTTTTTTTTTCAAATAAAATATTTATTTTTAATTTGTCGGTATTTGGCAAAGGTCTATGTCGAGATTGAAGTGGAGTCCATCGGGCGGGGCATGTAAAATAACTTGTCGAAAATTGATGAATAAGTTATTTTTGTTAAATTTTAATATTTTTTTTTCGTAAATAATTTACGACAACCAAACACCATAGAATAAAAAATATTTTTTAAAAAATTATTATAAAATAAAAAAATATTTTACAACCAAACAAACAGAACTTTAATTTTAGCTTTTGCAATTTGTTTCTCTCTCAAAAGCTTAATTATTATTATTATTATTTTAATATTTTGTATGCAAATCAATTTAAAAAAAATATTTTACATTCAAATAAACAGAACTTTAATTTTAACTTTTGTAATTTGCTTCTCTCTCAAAAGCTTAATTATTATTATTATTATTTTTAATATTTTGTATGCAAATCAATCTAAAGTTATTGGTAAAGAGTAGGTCACCTGCCTTGTCCTAAAGTGTTGAATATTATTCATCTTATTTTTTTTTGTTGACTTAGACTTGAACAATACGACGGACTTAGGCTTAAAATATCAACCTTTTCTTTTGAAATGTGCCTCTGGGGATTTAACCTCTTTTGAAAGGCTCTTTTTTGTGACTTGAGCGTGATGGTATGTTTCGTTGGAAGAAAAGAAGAGGGTAGAAGAAAAATGGAATGGAAGGAATAAATTTTCTTCCGAAATGATATAAGAAAAGAAAAAATATAGGTGAAAAATAGAAAAAAAAAATAAAAAAAATAAGTAAACCTATTATAAAAATTTTGCATCACTCTTTATAAATATTTAATAAATTTCAAAAAAAAATAAATAATGAATTTAATAATAAAATAACTTAAATTTCTTTTTATCCTATCAATTAAATTAAATTGTCCAATTTTTTCCATTCTCTTCTCCACTCTAGTCTCAGTAATCATTTCTTCTCTCCCTTCCCTTCAATTTTCTTCCACTACCGACGTAAGGGTGCTTGAATCTCAAATGCAAGGCCAAACAGTACCATTAAACTGGACTCCCGAACGACCATTAAACTAAATTCCCCGAGTTAATTCACTCTATTTTACATTCTCCTATGTCTAATGGCATGCTAATGGTGTGATTAAAGAGTTTGATCGTTACACTCTTATCTGCAACTGATAATAATTACACCATTCCCAGTCTAACTTATTTCTGTTTTGTGGTTTTTGTTTTTGTCGGATTTTAATTTAATTTTTGATAATTATGTCCAACTTTTATACGTTTATAGTAGCAAAGAAAGAAATCAGAATTCAAACAATCTATCAGAGGCCTAGATAATAATCCCAAAGTTGTTTTAATAGAGAGAAATAAAATGTAGCGATTTGTTCGAGGCCGTAATCAAAATAGAATTTGAGTTTGAAAGGCACGGAGAATCGCTATGTATATCGCCAACCTTCAATGCAAGTGTTTCGTCACTAATCAGACGACCTTGCTCTGCTAATTGGCTTTTCAATTTAACCAAATCAAATCAAAAACTACGAAAACTACAAAAACTAGGGTTAGATCTTTTAGAGGGAGGGAGGGAGGGAGGAAGAGATGTAACAGAGACAGAGCATAAAGCTTGGTGTGTGATTTCCCATTAGGTTAGAGCTTGTCGAGGCAATTGCTTTTTGTATATATAATAGGCCAAGCCCTCATAAAGAAATCCTAACCCTAATTGTATGAGACAGATTGTCCAAAATGCCCATATAAATGTTCTCTATTTGCTAACCAAATGATGGGCTTTTCATTGCACATTGATCCATTGTGATGGGCCGTAAACTTGGCCCAAACTGGCACTTCGAATACCAAGTGAAATCTTCCGGGGTTGGCTGTTTGCTTGTTCCCGGTGGTGGATTATAGGTGGATTATGGGGTGCTCTTGATAATAATTGGCTGAAGAATTTTTTTATGCTATATATTTTGATGGTTGAATCTTCTGCTGCTGTGTTTGGTGTGCATGAATGGAATGGAACGCAAGTGGGAATGGAATGAGAATGGAATGGAATGACCATTCTCATTCTATTGTTTAGTTGTAAATATAAAATGCGTAGGAATGGAATCATTCTAGTGTTTGGTTGGACTAATTTAAAATTTAGAATGTAATAAATTTCAAATTGAGTTCTCCAAACTATCACTCTTGGTATCAAATAAATTATATGAACAAAATTACATTCTTCTATAATTTTTTAAAAATAAATGGTGGCAATGGCAGTGGTAGATGATGGTGGTGGAGGTGAAAAGCGGTAGTGGTGTTGGAAGGCGGCAGTGGTGGAAGGTGGCAGAGGCGGTATTGTTGGAAGGTGGTAGTGGTAGTGGTAGTGGTGGAAGGTGGTGACGGTGGTGGTAGAAGGCAGTGGAGGTGGTGTTGGTGCGTGGTGGAAGGCAGTAGCGGTTGTGGTGGTGAAAGGTGGTGACGGTGGTGGTGGAAGGCAATGGAGGTGGTGTTGGTACGCGGTGGAAGACGGTAGCGGTTGTGGTGGTGGAAGGTAGTGGCGGTGGCGTTGTTGGAAGGCGGTGACGGTGGCGGAAGGTAGTGACGCTTGTGGTGGCGGAAGGCGGTGGCGCTGGTGGTGGTAGAAGGTGGTGGCAGAAGGTGGTGGCAGTGGTGGAAGGCGGTGGCGCTGGTGGTGGTGGTGCTGGTGAAAAGCGGTGGTGGTAAAGGAGGTGAAAGGCGATGGCGGTGGCGAAGGTGAAAGGCGGAGGTGAAAGGCGGTGGTGGTTGTGGTAAAAGGCGGTGGTGGAAGGTGGTGACGGTGGTGAAAGGCAGTGGCGGTTGTGGCAAAGGAATGTGGTGTCGGTGGTGAAGGTGGTGGAAAGCGGTGGACGATGGTAAAAGTCAGTGATGGTAGTGGTGGAAGTCAATGGTGGTAGTGGTGAAAATCGGAGGTGGTTGTGGTAGAAGGCACAGGTGGTTTTTGGACTTTAAACATGAAGGTTTTTTGAGAAGTTGATTTTTTTAAAAATTTTACTTGGGAATGGAATGGTCATTTCATAGGTTTAATTATGAAATGAATTTTCATTCTAATAGAATGGTCATTCATACTTTAAATTGCATATCAAATAAATGAATGATTGAAATGGACATTCCATTCCATTCTATTTCTGTACACCAAACTTAGCATTCAGGTTGAAATCCATTTTAGATGAAAATGAGACTAGTCTTCAGTTTGATATCTGGTGGGGGGGGGGGGGGGGGGGGGGGTGTTGGTTGTAGGAACACGTATTCATTGACATTATTCACTTGAAGGGGAACTCTTTAACCAAAAAAAAAAACTTGTAGAGGAACTGTTTAACCACTGTGTAGAACTGTGTGTTGCATTTTTTTTTTTTTGGCCAAATCTCTATCACCATAGAAATTCAAATTAAGTTACTGTTGGCACCAAAACACGGCTTTACCTAGGCTGCCCCCATCAACAAATGAAAATGTAACATGTCAACTCAAATCTGAGTCCAGAAAATGTCATTCTTCATCCTCCTCCATACCGAAAATAAAATTGACAGGCCATGAATCAACAGTACCCGTGTCACAAGCTTTACACACTATCATATATTGAGAGGCCATGAATCCGGTGGCCACGCCAAAGACCAAAGACCTTCAACTTAACTAATTATACCTAACTCACTCTTCGACGCCCCCACTCTACCTAACATACCTGAGAGACATCCATTTGAAGGGTCCACGACCACCAAACACTTTCATTATTTTCTGCAACTTCATTGATATTTTCTTAGTCTTAGCCTACTTTCCTAGCCATAGCCATGGTAGGTCAGATGACAATTTGATTGGGATAAAAAACGTTTATTGACTCGTTAAGAAACAAGAAAGTCTAAGCTGAAACAATTGCTCAATAAGGAAATTCCAATCTTTAGAATCCTCTCCCATAATTCATCCTACATAAGTTAGAAACCTACTTTCTTATTGTGATATTGTGGCACGAATTTGATGTCGGGTTGCGTTGCGACTCTCTTATAACTCGATGATCAGTTGGATGGAGGAAATTTTTTTGACCCTTTTTTAGCTCATGGATTGTGGACCCTAGTTAGTCTGTTGTAACCAATATATAAGGGCGTTTAGGGTTTGGAGTGGTATATGAGAGAGATTCTGGAATTCGTACAGAAAGAAAGTGAGGGGCTGAAAACTTGTAATATCCTATTTTACATATAGTGAAAACTTTAGTCGGATCATAACTGTATACATAGGTTGTTGCCAAATTACGTATAAATTTTTGTGTTTTTTGTGTGGCATGTTTCATTTTCTGTCGTGATTCTTGATTCAACTTGGGTTTGTTGCGTTTGTCATAATACTGAGCATTGATAATCATCTATGAAATATCTATTTGCCAAGCACAAGTGAAGTTGCCCTAAAAGCCCCAAATTGGTATTATTACCGACTAATGTGTCCATTATGGATTTCAATATTTTGAAAGGAGAGGGACGTGTCCTTATTCATTCATCACTAATTGAGAGTCGTTGTTGGACATTGGTGACTAGAATAGGGAAAAAAACC